GCCGCACCTTGCAATGCACAGCCGGAGGCCCCCCACCGGCAGTCCGGGCTCCTGCCCCGCGTCTGCCAAGGACGAGCAAGCAGACTTACTCGCTCCATCGCTTGATGATACCCGTGTTTTTCTTTTCCTTCAATGTATTGCTGGCCGACTCCGACAGGGGCTCGATCTCGCACGACAGCCCATAGCTGGGAGGGGAGAGAACAGGGTTTCAGCTCGTCGCCCTCCCCCTCGATGCTGCTAGCACCGTGCCGGCAGGGCGAGGGAAGCAGAGCGAGGCGCCGAGGATGAGGAAGCTGTTCTTCAGCAGCCGAAGGAGACGAGATGCGGTGCCTCCCACTCACGCTCACCTCTCGGCCTCGCTCAGCCGCTCCAGGCTGTGGAACCAGTCCACAAAACGGTCCTCCTGCGTGAAGCTGTAGTTGTTGCAGGCCGACTGAAGCAGCTTGATCTGGGCGATGACTTCAAACTCCTGTCGGGAGCGGAGGCAGTGAGACCTGTTCCGTTCGCCCAGTGCCAACCCCAGCCCTCTCCCCACACAGCCCAGCCCCATGCACGGGAACACCTATGAAGGACCAGAATCTCCCCCCACAAAATAAAGACCATGACAGCAAAGGAAAAAAAGGGAACATCATCCCCAAAGGGACTGGCACAGCCTGGGTTTGCACAAAATCAGCCTCCTCCCTCCACCCAGGTGTGCAGCCGGCAGTGAAAAGCTCTCACCTTCCTTCTCTTCTCAAAGTTGATCAGCCCTCCCTGAAAAAGAAAGAGCTGGACATCAGTGTGAAGCAGGAAAAGGAAAATTGTCCATACCCCTCTGCCTGCCCTGCCTGCTGCCACTGCAGTGCAGGCCGTCCCCACCAAGGGGCAGTGCGAGAGCGGGCCACCACCACGGACCCGCACATGGAGGATGCAGGCGGTTGCAGTGTCGCATGGAGGACACACAGGGGTGTGGTGTCGGATGGAGGACGCACAGGGATTCAGCCTTTCGTACGTCACCCCAGGCTCTGGAGATGGCTGTGAGGAGGAAGACGAGGAGGAGGAGGATATAGAGAGTGGTACGTACGTCCAGGAAGTCCTTCATGGCAGTGTCGAGCATCACCAGGTCTGTGAGGAAGGTGCCGAGGTAGGGAATGGTGCCCTGCATCACGCCCTGGGGGGACATCAAGGGACAGCCGGGGTCAGCGCAGAGCCCGACGGACGCCAGCAGCCAGCAGGGAGGAAGCGTGGGGCCCGGCCATGCCCGACTCACCATCTCTCGCTGCTGCTGCTGCCGCTTCTGAGCCCTCTTCGGGTTGATCTCCAAGGTGGCGAATTTGGACGTGCCCTCCTGGATGGCGGAGAGAGGCGGGGGTCAGTGCGGGGGGGGACACCCGCCTAGCAGCCCCCGCCAGGAGTGGGCTCCCCCGCTGCAGCCCCGGGCACAGGGCTGGCACCGCACCGCCTGCAGAGGGCACGGTGCCATCCTGCCCTGCTAACAAGGTCCGTAGGTCTGCAGCACTATTTTATCTCCGTGCCTAGGTTTCCCGATCAGTAAAACAGGTAAGACGCTCATTTTATAAGAACTTTTTCTTTCATCCTATAAGAGCTTTTCTCTTTTTTAAGAGCTCAGAACCTCAGGAATAAAAATACGCTGAAAGAGCCACAGATCACCACAAAAACAGTCCTTCAAAATAACACAGATTTGAATAGGAAAAAAGACCATTTGACAAAAGATAACAAATGTCCATATGGGAAATTGCACTAAAAGATTAGCTGAAATTCACACCCACTTTTATTGGTACAACTTCCCTTGTAGAGGAGGGGAAGGGGAGGAAATCAAAGCTGAGCCTGTTCACGGCAAAGGGGGAGGACAGTCCTAGTGAATAGGAAGTGCTGCTCCCACTTTCAGCTCTGTGCATAAACAGCTCTTCAATGGGATGTTTTGTTCCCTTTTGGATTGTGTGTGATCTCAGCCCCCGAACCGGAGCTCGGCTGCAGAGCCAAGGAAGGCCCCATGGCGAGAAGGGCGCTTCTGCAGCTGCCTTCCACGACCCCACCTTAAACCGAGGGGACACCCGAGAGAGCTGCCCTTTGCACCGGGCTGTTAAAATGCGGCTGCCTCTGGGGAGAAGCTGGCATCTGGTGCATGGGATCAAATCCAGTAGCTTATCTCTACCTGCTAAATTGCTCTGCGAGCTTCAGGCAATGACGACTTTGGGTGGAGAAGCGGGAAGCCCAGCCTCGTCTGGAACCAGCCCCGTCTGAAACCGGCACACAAGCTACCCCTGCCCTGGCCGATTCAGAAACACATGAGAGCCGGCTTTCTGCTTGGGCCCGGCAGAGGTTTGAACTACTGGTGGGCGATGGGTCCCTCCCAGCCCCGAGATGACACGAACGCAAACGGATGCAGAATCAGGCCTGGCCGAGATTTGCCCAGGGAGAGCCGAGTGAGCAAGCGGCTTCTTGGGTAGCCGCCCCTCTGCAGACTGCGCGCAGCCCCACGCCTCCCTGCACGGCACGGGGCAGGCAACACGCCGCCCCGCCGAGACACAGAGCGGGCTCTGAAGGTCACACGAGACTCTCCCGAGCCCACAGTAAATGCCGGGACTGAATGCACTGTCTGCTCTCGAGATGCAGCACGTCCTGCCCGCACACTGACGGCTCGACCGCGGCGGCGCTGCCGGAGGGGGAGCGAGGCAAGAAATTCTGCCATCATCAGCGTAAACTGCCCGTCAGACATACAGCAACGTGGGAGGCGGGCGCCCGCTTCCCCATACCTTAATGAGAAGTTCCCGGCTCAGAGAGTGGTTGTTCTCATCGGAGAAGATTTCTGACAGCTCTTGGAAAGTGCGGAGGCTCTCCCTGCACAGGGAGAGACCGAGGGGGAAATGAGCACTGACACCACTGTGTCATTTGGGGGCTCTCCGCTCCTCACCTGCCTGCCCCCCATCAATCCTCGCAGCACTAGCGGGGCCTGGCTGTTTGGGGAAAACTCAGGGTGTTTCGCATAGAAGGGAGGAGGCGGTGATGCTGCTTGTATTTCCTCACCTTCCTTAGATCCCTGACATGTTAAGCTGGTCCCTGGGTTTTGGACATGCTCCAAGAGGCAATGCCGGAGCCAAGGAGATGATGCCACCTACCCGTTCAAGGGACACAGCTGCAGCACAACCCCACAGCATCGGCCCCCCACACAAAGAACCCAACGCCAGGGCAGCAGCCCCTCCCTCAAAATGTCACAGTGGGCACTGCTTACCGTAGGACCTCGTCCCAGGTCTTCTTTAGCCGGTGAACTGCGTTACACTGCAGAGCTGAGAGGATGGCTCGGAGGGAGGAGAAGTTCTTCAGGATGCGGCAGTCCTGGGGCAGACAAGGGGATGGTGAGACTCCATGTTAAAGCAAGACAGTCAGCCCTGCACCAATCTACATCACATGACTCTTCACATCTTCCCTGCAAACTGCTTTTTCAAGGAGATCATATTCCCATTTGGATGCCCTTGCACAGAGCTGTCTTTCAGGAGACAGACTCAAGGCATTCGCTGGGACTCGCGTGCTGTGGACCCCCGGCCCTGGGCCGAGGCGAGAGGCCAGCAGGATGGGGAGCAGTCCTACCCGAGCCACCTCAATCCACCGCTCCACCACTTTTGCCCTCTGCTGTGGCTTCAGCGATCGGTCTCCGAGACACGTGGCAATGACGCAGTTGGCCACACTATTGAACTGTGAGACGGTGGCACGGATGGTGGGCGCCAGATGCTCTTTGCCTTTCTTATCTCGCTGGGACCAGATGCAGCCCAGGCAGTGGTAAGGCACCACTTTCTTAAACAGCTCCTGGAAGACAAAGACATGGAGATAGGTCTATGGGATCTCTGGAATGAGAGCAGACAAGCAGGAAAAGGTACAGCGGGAGCATGGGAAGAGACAACAAAAGGCCTGTGCCAGAGCAGCAGGCAGGTAGAGCGCTGCGCCTCAGCACACAGCAGCCAGCGACTTGGCTGTCCAACGAATACTCACAGCGTCCATCAGTGTGAACTGCTCTGCCACCATCTCTGGGGAGAAGGAAAGGAAGTCCGACTTCCCCTCCCCGACCCCGTTCTCCTCCACCAGTTGGAACGGGCAGCCACCGTGGTCCACAGCTGTGAGAGACAGGGCGCAAAGCTGAGCCCAGAGTGCTGCCGCGAGCCCGGGCCCTCACGCCACAGCTCACACTAACCCTCTGCGGACACCCACATCCCAACTCAAGCGCTTTTAAATCCCAGGCTGGTTTCACATCTCAAGAAACTAGGCTCAGATAAAAGTACAGCTCCGTTAATTCTGGATGCAAGTGTCTGCAGAGGATTAAATGCAGATTAGCTAATCTATTTAGAAATCCCACTTCTAGTTCACTTGGATTAACTTCCCTGTGTAACTGTAGTCACGGTTTATGTGGGTTTAGCCACGTAGCAAGACTCGAGGCTCTGGAGGCCCTTGATGCTAACAGGCACCGCTCTCCCCACAGGCAGCCCCAAACCCCCCCGGGGAGTGGGGAACGGTCCCTCACCTTCTGCCTCGGTCTCGCTGTGCTCTTGCTGCTGGAACTGGGCCAGCAAGATGCGGGCTCGGCGCTCCAGGTCCGAGCCGGGGATGTTGTGGCGCACGTAGGAGATGAGCTGCTTGAGGCAGGCAAAGTCTGGGGGCTTGCGGAAGTCCTCGGAGTACTGGTCCAGCCAGGCGCCCAGGATGGAGGAGATGGTGCTGCAGGAAGAGGTGGGAGCATGGGCAGGCTTGCATGAGAGGCTGGCATCGCTTGAAACTTGCGTTCACCCACGCACCCCAGGGACCAGGAGTGCGGGACAACACGTGCCGTTGTACAACTGAAGAACTACCGCCACAGCCACCTCTCTCTAACTTGCTGCCACAGGGTAAACAGCCCAGCCAGTCCCAAGAAAAGATTAGATAGGAGAGGAAACGTGGCACTGTGCTTAAAACAAGAAGCTAGGCTTGACTCCTCCGTTCTGGAAATCCTCCCAGCCCAGGGGCCTCAGCTGGGAACCAGATCAACTCTCAGCAACTCATTTCAGTGTCATCTCCACTTCCAGTCCCTGGGTCCTGATCTCACATCAAGAAGCCTGTCTCCAACATCTGCAAAGTTTTTGCCTTCTGAAGAAGGCTCTACCCTAGCCACAAGCCAAGAGAAACAGATGCAGCCCCTGCCCACAGCAAGGTCCTACTCACTTCTTCAGCTCCATCCTCTCGTCCACAGCATGCCTGGCGTGGTCCCCGTTTGCCTGCACGTGGAGTTTGCCATACCTGGGAGTGCAATGAGGAGACAGTGAGTGTCCTCGAGTCTGCTGCCTCTCAGTTCTGGATGTTGTCCCTTCACGTCACCCACAGCTCTGCCAGGGGTGCAGGATGAACCTTCCCCACACTGTCCAGCCTGCCACAGCAGGAGACGTGCCCTGGCTCTGCTCTCCTGCAAACACTGTCCTGGTGCTCAGGATGGACAGATGCGCTGGGGAGGGACGCGCAAGGAGACGGAGCATGTGGAGGAGACGGGGGGGGAGCAAGACAGCTCAGATCACAGATGGCAGGACGAACGACGACGAGGAAGGCTCAGGCAGAGCTCTTTCCCAGGGGCCTGACAACCTTCGTGTCAGTAGGGCCGAGAGAAGGGACAGATCCCATTCAGGCATGGACCCGCAGCTCATAGGCAGCAAAAGCCACGGGAGCTCCTCTCCTGAGGGGGCACAGCAGATTTTGGGGCAAGGGCCAGCCTCACCTGTTAAGCAGCAGGTCCAGCACTTGCTTGGTGGTGGCGAAGGCCCGGTAAGTGCACAGAAAGATAGTGACGTAGGTGGAGTCATTGCCCTTGAAGGCCGAGACCAGGTACTCCACCAGCTTCTCCAAGGTCCCAGCTTTTATCGTCCGCACTTTACACGTCTCGTAGAGGTTTAAGGCAGACTCGTTCTCAAACTGCCGGGACAGGAGCAGAAGTCAGCGGACTAGATGAAGACAGATGTGTGTGAGTGCAATGCTGCCCCACCAGCTTAGCACGCAGCTATTTGGGACTAGGCTGGCAGCCCTCCTCCAGGTGGGACTGTGATCAGCCCCACAACACCTGAGGGTCTCATGACGTGCCTGGTGCTGCTCTGGTAGGTGGGATCACACACAGAGGGTTGGCCAAAAGGGAGGCTGGGTCCCCTTGGACACCAAATGACCAGCAACGAACCCTAGAAGATGCGAGCACTTGGAAAGCCCCAGGAAAGGCCTCAGGGTTGCCGAAACACATTTCCCAGCATCTGCAAGCACTGTACTTCTGCTTGGTAACCGCAGCAAGACAAAAGCAGTGTTAGCAGGAACAGACATGGCCCCACGGGTGGTAGGTACACTCTATCCATAGCAAGACCCTTCCTGACACCTCTGTACTATGGGGTAAATCCCCGCTTCAAACAGAAACTGAGGCTCAGGTGAAGGTAGGCAATGTTCCTACAGTCCCAAGCTGAGAAGGGAAGACTGCACCACGCGCTGACTTCTCCTTTCTATTTACAAGGCAGCTTTTGTACTGAAAAGGGGCTCAACCACCCCACCTATCTATATGGGTCTCTGGTAGGGAGAATATCAGCTCCCCCACAGCCCTGGCTCCTGGTTTGCTCAGTGCAAATACTCCTCCAGCTCAGGAAACACAGAAGGAGAAAAAAGGGGCAAAAAGTGCAGGAGGGAAAGAACAACCAATGAGAGTGTGAAAGGGCAGAGGAGATCCATAAACCCACGTGCCCACCTCCTCCTTGTACTCCCCGTGAACCTGAGCAGCCACCTCTTATGTCACCTCTACTCCTTGTCTGCCTGCAGACAGCTGGGTTACAACCAGGCCTGGAGCTAGGTCCTGGGCTGTGCAGCCGAGTGGCCCGGGGGGTCGGCAGCTGCAACGTGATGCAGTCGGCCAGCTGGAACAAATGCTGCCCCGCACAGTCCCCCGTGCTCTCCCTGCCCCGAGCAACCCGCACACAGCCTAGGTCTGTCCCAGCCCAGTACAGCCGCAGGGAGCAGCTTTGTCTGCGAATATGAGCCGTGGGAAGACTTCCATCCAAAACAGGCTGTTTAGCAGCAGCAAGAGGGACAAAGAGGAAAAGGGACCAATTTTTAACCCTTCTCACACCAAGAACAGTGCCTGGGGGAGAGGGGGCAGGACGTGGGCTCATATTGACCTGTGCAAAGCCAGTACATCAGGTCACCAGGTCACTGGCAGTGAAATGTCTGGAAACAGCACGTGGAAGACATGGACCGCAAAGGGGGGCAGGCTGAGCCCCGCTTACCCCCAGCCAGCGTTGCCCTTTGTTGGCCGTGTGATGGAGCTGCACTTTCCGGAGCGATATGCTGTAGATGACACCGTCCTCCAGCTCTTCTCCGATCTCCTGTGTGGAGCTCTGCATGGGACAACAAAGCACGCTGTGAGAGGAGGAGGCTAAAACGTGATGGAAATGCTCCTGCGGGCCTGGATGAGGCTTCCCAGCAAGCCGCAGGGGACAGTCGGGAGGCAGAGGGGTTCACTCGCCCCTTCAGACAGGCGAACCAGGTGGCACCAGTCCTTCTGGCCAGCCTGGACCTGCATACAGAGTGAAGCCCTCGAACTATGGCTCCGTGCCCCTTGCAAGCCGCTCTGGGTCTCCTTTGCTCCCCACGACTCGGAGGGTCTCGGCCCTTCTGCCAAGCAGCCGGGGCTGCCCCCGGAGCCGCAAACACGTCGTCCCTACCTCCATCTGCTTTCTCCTCCCTAAGCCTTTGCCCTTCCCCTAAGGTGACACCACAGCCCCGGGGCCGACGGTAATCGTGGTAATCTGCCCCTGCGGCAGCTGAGCACCTCGGCGCTCGCAGCCTAATCGCACCTTATGCAATAAATAATAACCGTGAAACCAAGCCGCCTGCGAGCGACGGGCAGCCGCGGCCCAATGCTCGAGGGACAAACTTGAGGCAGGGAAACTTGAACACGGGGGGAAACCCCAGAGAGTGGTGCCGGGTGGGCTGGGACGCCGGCAGGCAGGTCCCCGCACCCTCCCAGCGATGGCACCTCCGGGCACGTGCCGTGGGAGGGAGGTCACAGCCCGCCCTGGCCACGAGGTCCAGCTTTCTGCTCCCGGCGGGACGGAGGCTTCCTAAAATTTGGTTAGGAAAGAAGGGATCCTTCCTGCGGCAGATCCCAAGGCAGGAGCCTGGGCTGCTCTGCCGGCTGCTCTCCTGCCTCCGCCCCGCTGGCCGGG